TAGTCTATAAAATATTGAAGATAGTATTCAGATTTAAAAGACGCTTTTTACAAAAATGTGTTTTTCAGAAATATTATTATGTTTGTAAAAGGTTTGTTCTATAAAGTATCTTTATAAAAACATGATTCACGAGTACGTCTTTATATTTTTTTTTTGGGATAGTTTCTTGCGTTTTCGTTATGATTAACTTTAGTCATTGAAAAAAAATTAAAAAAGTATGGTATCTAACGTTATAAATCGTTTAATTTTAGTCTCTAATGTTATCGATCTGTCTAATTTAAGTCACTTTACCATTAACTTTCGTTATCCATTAATGAAATTATTACGTGACAATTAAAAAAATAAAAAAAAAATCATGTGGTTCCCACTGCCCCTTCTTCTTCTCCCCATTAACTACCCACCGTCTTCTTCCAATGTTAAAACCCACATATCAAAGCTCTGGTTCTTGGTCACTCTCCGACGAATATTGCTACACCTTTTCGGTCGAAACGTCTCTAATGTGGTGTAGGCCGGTGAAGGATTGAGATGAATCCGACAAGAGGTTCCTCGAAGAGAAAAGTGTCTCGGTTTCATCTTTATTGCTTAACCACCACCACCTACCATGATGATTATTACTAGTAGTGCATTTACGGCCATCAAAACCAAGGGCTGAACCTAAACTTGAAACAAAAAAAGGAGGGCATCCAACGTTTGTGTTTTGGACAGCTCCAACTTCGTTCGGATAGTACTCGGATAGAAATGCTTTACGTTCCAATAATAATGATAATTTTCTCAGTTTTACGATTCAAAATCTTCAGTTTTCCTATGCGACGATTTCAAAGTCGGTGACTATTATCTTACCGAAGAGTAAAGAGCAACTTATCGGCAACATGTTGGGTTGTTTACAAGGGTCGTGGGAGATAAGAGTGTGGTATGGTGGCCATAGCTATAAGGGTACTTCGTGGGGTAGCTAGCGACGGAGCTTCATTTGTTATTATATCAGCGAGTTTTGGTGGATATGGTGATGGAGACGACATGGGTGGAAGGTTGTGAATATCTTAAAAAGTTTTGTTTTATTTTTTAATCGTTATGGGTTTAAGCTAAGGATGAGGAGGAGGAGGAGGAAGAAGAAGAAGAAGAAGAAGATTTTTATTTTTAAAATGATATTTAAGATTTATGTTAAGGGGTTAATGGAAGTTAACGATAGAGGATTTAAATCGAACATATTTTAACATTAGGTACCATTTTTTCTTAATTTTTTTCGATGGCCAAAGTTGATCATAGCAAAAGCATAGTTGACTATTCACATAGTTTACCCTATATTGTTTTGATTTATCTATGATGATTGTAAGATAATATATGTTTAGAATCTTTCTTAATTATTGATAACACATATACACCTTACAAACATAACTACTTGAGCTTATAATCTTAAAAAAGATGATATTTTTTATTATTGAAGTGACTCGATAAATTCACGATACATTTGTTTACTAAATAGATGAATAATACATATTATTTTAGTAATAAAATTTATTTTTGATATTTTTATGGGTAATCTATACCAGAGACCACCCAAATATAGATCATTTTCATTTCGACCATCATTTTTGAATTCTTGTCAATCAGACCACCCAACTATTTAAATACATTCAATCAGACCACTAGCTATTAACATTTAACGGAAGTGATGACAAGCTAGTTAATAAAACTCCTATAATTACACATTTGGTCCTTGATATTTATACATTATCTCAGTTTGGTCATAATTTTAATTCAATTTGATAAATTTAATCTCCAATTAGGTGTTTACATGTGTGACTACTAGATTTAGGGATATTTTATTAATTTTAATTATTTAACCACCTTATTGGATACAAAATGTTGAAAATTTTAAACTTGCTCTTAGGGATCAAACCAACACCCCATAACCCCTTTAGGGACATGCCAAAACCTTTAGGCTAACTCCCTCAATTGGTATTGCATTCCATCATTTTATATATAATATGTTCTAACCAATGATATAGAAAAATAGGAAACTAACATGATTTTAAATGGATTCAAACTTATATATTGAGTTTTTCTATAAAAAAAGCAAAATTTATATTTTTATATTTTCAAACTACCTTTATTTTTATATAATTATATATATGATTATTAAATTATTTTTAATATAATTAATAAATTTAATTTAATAATTATATATAAAAATTATATATATATATATATATTATTAATTATATTACAAATTTAAAATTATAATTTGATTATATAAAAATAAATATAATTTAAAATCTAAATTCAAGTTTCGATAATTAATTAAATATTTTAAAAATTTAAATTTATTTTTATACATATTAAATTATTATTATTTTAAAATTTTATTTTTATACACACAAAGCATAATTTTAATTTTTAAACATAATTAATAATATATATTTATATATAATTATCAATTAAAACTAAAATTATTAACTATATTAAAAAATAATTTGATGATCATATAAAAATTTTGTAAAGTTAAAGATAGTTTAAAATATAAAAATTTAAATTTTACTTTTTTTTAAATATACGTTAGTTTCTTATTTTTCTCTATCATTGGTTAGAACATATTATATATAAAATGTTAGAATACAATACCAATTGAGGGACTCAACCTAGCGGTTTTGGCATGATCCTAAAGGGGTTGTGGGTTGTTGGTTCAATCTCCCTCAAGAGTAAGTTGAATTAAAATTAATTTAAAATTATGACTAAATTGAAAGAATGTATAAATCTTGAGGATCAAATGTTAATTATACCAGTTTTATTAAATGAAATGTCATCACTTCCATTAAATGTTAACGGCTTGGGATATGATTGAATGCATTTAAATAGTTAGGTGGTCTGATTGATAAGAATTCAAAAATGATAGTTGAAATGAAAATAGACTATAGTTAGGTGATCTCTGCTATAGTTTACCCGTTTTTTATATTAAAGTTTGTAGCAATTACTTTGATTAAAACGATGTCGTGAAGGGTAAGCCGTTCATCGAACAGATCGCCAGTTAGTTTGATGGTTAGTTGAGGCCAAATGCCCTTTCACTCCCTCGACGAGTCCGTCAATCTCAACAAAAAAAATCCCTCCTTCCTTCAAAAACCCAAACTCTTGTCTTCCTCTTGAAAAATATTTCTCACCGAACCCTCCGATATCTATCCCCTGTTCTCCGCCCTTTCCGCCGCCCCTAAGAATGGAAGCCTCCACTGCACTTTCTCGCATAGGTTTAGCCGGCTTAGCCGTCATGGGCCAAAATCTCGCTCTAAACGTCGCCGAAAAAGGCTTCCCAATTTCCGTTTACAACCGTACCACCTCCAAAGTCGACGAAACCGTCGGGCGAGCTCAAGATGAAGGCCAGCTCCCGCTTTTTGGCCAGTACTCCCCTCGAGAATTCGTTCTCTCAATCCAACGGCCCAGATCTGTCATCATCTTAGTCAAAGCTGGCGCACCCGTCGACCAAACCATCGCTGCTTTATCCGACCACATGGAGCCCGGAGACTGCATCATCGATGGTGGTAACGAGTGGTACGAGAACACCGAGAGAAGGATGCAAGAAGCTTCAAGTAAGGGCCTTCTATATCTCGGTATGGGTGTTTCCGGGGGCGAAGAAGGTGCCCGGAACGGCCCGTCTCTAATGCCCGGCGGATCTCACCAGGCCTATACGAATATCAAGGACATACTCGAGAAAGTGGCTGCGCAAGTAGAAGATGGACCCTGCGTTACTTACATTGGCGAAGGTGGATCAGGTAATTTCGTTAAAATGGTTCATAATGGAATCGAGTATGGTGATATGCAGTTGATTTCTGAGGCTTATGATGTGCTTAAACATGTTGGGGGACTTTCGAATAATGAATTAGCTGAGATTTTCGCTGAATGGAATCAGGGAGAGCTCGAGAGTTTCTTAATTGAGATAACTTCTGATATTTTTAGAGTTAAGGATGATTTGGGAGATGGGTATTTGGTAGATAAGATTTTGGATAAGACTGGGATGAAAGGTACTGGTAAATGGACTGTGCAGCAAGCTGCCGAGTTGTCTGTTGCTGCCCCTACAATTGCAGCGTCTTTGGATTGTAGATATTTGAGTGGATTAAAGGAGGAGAGGGAAAATGCAGCTGAGGTTTTGAAACAAGCTGGGTTAAAAGAGGAAGTTGGCAGTTTTGCACAGGGAATTGATAAGAAAAGATTGATTGATGATGTTAGGCAAGCTTTGTATGCCTCGAAGATATGTAGTTATGCTCAAGGGATGAATTTGTTGAGAGCTAAGAGTGTTGAAAAGGGATGGAATTTGAACTTTGGAGAGTTGGCTAGGATTTGGAAAGGTGGGTGTATTATTAGGGCTGTGTTTTTGGATAGGATCAAGAAGGCTTATCAGAGGAACCCCAATTTGGATAGCTTGCTTGTGGACCCTGAGTTCGCTCGGGAGATGGTTCAGAGGCAGGCAGCTTGGAGGAGAGTCGTGGGATTGGCTATCTCTGCTGGGATCAGCACACCAGGAATGTGTGCTAGCCTTGCATATTTCGATACCTATAGGCGTGCAAGGCTCCCGGCAAATCTTGTGCAGGCACAGAGGGACTTGTTTGGGGCACATACCTATGAGAGGATTGATCGTCCAGGGTCATTCCATACAGAGTGGAAAAAGGCTGCTCACGGTGTTGGTGCACTCAACTGAGTTTTCATAGTTTTGTTTGTTGTACTCTGGTTTTCTTGTTTGTTTCAGTTGAGCACTGTTGGGATGGGATTCTACCTTATCTTTGCAATGATTGTTCAATCTTATAGCTTTCTTTTTCTTTCAATAAAAAAGCAAGCCTTTTGAGTTGCAGAAGTTGTATGCCTGTTGGCAGAATGGGTAAAGCATTGTAGCACTTAGTCCAGTATAAACAAGAAACGAGTAATGACTGCAAATTTTTGGCACACTTAAAGGTGCAGGGTAGATGACTACAGTTAAGGGTTAGCAGGTTCGAATTAATTTGCCAAGTTCTAACCATCAGTGAAGTTCAAATTGATTGCAAAATTAATTTATATAAATTCACCACGCATAGGCTATAATAATTTTTTTACAATGATTCATAAGGAATTTACGAAAGACGATGAAAAGCAAAAGGGCAGTAGCCAATACAACTCTCAAAATCACCAACTCATTGTCTGATGGTGAGTTCCGCCCTGAGATGGAGGATGTCGTCTATAAAGTAAATGCTATCATCAGCCATGAATGCCGTCCAGGGAATACCAAATAGGTTTCGATAGCCAACAGCCTTCCCTCCTGTGAAAATGTAATTCCCTTTATACTTGCTTACAAAATCCTTAGTTGGCTTTGACCTAGCGGCAAACTCGTAGTCAACAGCAAAAGTAACAGATCCCCTCTCTTGCATTCCCAAAAATAGCCCAAAGCAGTGGAATGAGCTTTGCTGATCCATGTTGCAATGAGCAGACAAGAAAAATCCTTGGCCACCAAGATGGAATGCTTGGGAATAAACTCTACCAGCCGGAAATAGGTGTGCACACTCCTCACGCTTCAGGTCCAGGTACACTACACACTGCTTCCATGGCAGTTCAAACTCTACAACCTTGACCGGACGGTACTTGTATGCCCGCTCCACAAAGCGATGATGAGTGGCGCTAGCCTCTTCTGCTGCAAGTGCTCGCTGTCTATATGGTGTCTCAGCCTTGAAAAAGAGAGACTCGAGCACAACTTTGGATGAAAGTTCTGGATCAAAGTCGATGCAAGTTAAAACTTTTTTCAGCTTTCTGCAAGTCAAATATGGAAAACGTATTAGGCGACTGAGGCGTGTGGCAAAAATTACACGTCGTTCCTCCAGTCTTGGGTAATGAGTTCGAGCCCACTTGAGCACAAAGTCGTAAACAGCATCCTCTGAAGCTACCTGGAGGCCATCACTGGAAAATACTGCCTCTATACCAGCAAGAGGCAAGTTGAGTATTTCCTCCTGAAACCTGACAAGAAAACAGAGCAAACTATCCATTATCTAGAGGTTAACTAAAAAAAGGGTCTAAAAGAAAACAGAATGAAAAAATGACACTTGTTTCACGTAATTTGTCACTTAAGCCAGCCATAAATAAACAGCACATACAAGACTGCATTCCTAGCCAAATTATTTCTAAAAGAAGAATGCTCACTATTTCATATATATCAACAAAAGGTTGCCCATGCGCTCATAATATCAGCAACAAAATAAGCAACCTTGTTACAGTGAATAAATTACTCAAAGTATACATGTATTTAATATTGTGAATGATAATGGCACTCACTTGGTTATATCCTTGTATCTTTCAGCAAGAAACTGCTTTGCTGCATCTGTCAGTGGCTGAACAGCATCTGCCATTAAAACACTAGATGGAAGGTCCAAATACAGTAAAGCCGATTCACAGGTCATAGGCAGGTTTCTTAACAATCGACTACAATGTCTCATGCATGATGCAACCTCGAATTTGTCAGCAGCCATCAACACATCTAACAAGGCAGTAGGTGTGGTTGTTGATAGGGTGTTGCTATACATAAAATTTAGCAGGTCCAGGAGAGCTGTTTCTTCTGCTCAAGAAAAATATATACAAACAAATAATAGGTCATATAACCTAGACGCATGACCTAATAAAGAATCTGATAACCTCAAAACCACAAAAATGCATAAATGAACCCTCAAAATTAAACAGGTTCCAAAATGAAAACATAGGAAATTAGCATTTATAGCAAGAGAGGTAAAAGACATAAATGATCGAATAGGAAAAACATTCCAGAGCTTACCAGAGGCATGTATTTGAAGAGTTACATGTCGCTGCTCTGACTCCTTCATTCCATTTGAAAACAACTACAAGCAAAGGGACAAACTGCTAAGTCAATCATGATTACCGGAACTGATAATAGAAAGAAAACAACCAAACAGCATCTCCTTACCTTATAAAAGAAGGGACTTTTTGCTGCCAAAATAGGAGAACTAATGTGTATGGTCTTGACTCTTAGAATTTTTGAACAATCCACATTCCTAGATGAGTCATTGTTGTAAATGGTATCATTCCCTACAAAGGAACCAAACAGGTCTCAAGGAACATGAAGATATTACATAATTTTCTTTTCCAAGTTACAAAATCTATAATTTTGCTTCACTAATTTGCTTATTTCCAATAATAATAATAAATGACTTCTTTTCTTGTTTTGTTTCTTTAGCAACTTATGCAGAAGGAAAAGCATAAATAACAAATACAAATAGCAAAAGTAAAAGTAAAAACAAACAATAAATTGAAGGAACCTAAGAAGTTTGAGCTGTTTTTATGAAAATTAACTAAAAATTTTGCTTTAATTAACATAGAGGAGCTTGGCAAGTGTGTGTATATGCAGAGTATAAAAATGGATGAAGTAATTTATGTATGTAATTAAGTTACCGATTTGAAAGGAATTCAATCCAACATCAGAAGGTGACTCTTCAGCTATTGACATGGGCTCTTCATCTTGATTCACATACGTTACACCATCCACTGTGTACGGCATGTTACAATTCAAGATTTGCTCCTCACTTTGCACGATAAAATCTGCAGGACACCAAAGATCCAATCCCAAAATTGTCAAAATTACATCAATTTTCACTGTCATAAGCTTTATTTAAACAACAATAATAATTAAAGAGACAAAACAAACCGTTTTCTTTCTTGAAATCTTCCCTCCGTCTCTTTCTATTACGGGCCCAATCAGCGATAGAGGAGCAACCGTCACCGTCGGATTTAGTTTCGGGCAAATCAGGCATGATCTCGATCCTCAAGATCCGATCGGAGAAATTACTGTCGTCAAATGCAAAGCCAAAGTCCGGGTCAACGGAACCAGAGCCGGAAGTTTCGCCGGGTGAGAAATCGGAGTCCATAATCGTTAGTGGATCAATAAGATCAGCGTTGGTCACTCGCATGCCCGAGAATCCTCCAAAAGCTCAAATACAAACAAAGCATAAAAGTAAAGTTGGAAGAAAGTTAAACACCTGCAACTCCAACGTGTTTATTTTTCCAAATCAGAAGTTTTTTTCTTCATCTTCATTATACTGCGTTCCGTATATCATTTCTTATGCTGCGTGGCAGTTATTGATTGGTTTTAGTATATATAACTTGATTTTCCTATCCAACTAGCAAACGCAAAGGCCTTTTAAGATTTCGTTCAATCCCGAGTCGGACTCAATTTTTTTATATAACTGCTAACATTCATAACTTTCGAAATACGAATTAAATATATTACATTTATATTATGAAACTTTCTTTATACATAAAACTTTAAAATTTTATTGCATTTTAAAACTTTTGTTTATCAATCTAAAACTATTTAATTAATCGCGTAAAAATATAAAATAATATTTTTATCAATCATTTGAATATGATTTCAAAACTTTCACTTCATTTTCTTTCAGATACTTATCATAACTTTCATATTTACTTCCATAACCCAATGTATATGATAATGTAAGGTACACGAGTTAAACATAATGTACGCACTAGGCACTACATGGTGTCAATCATCATTATAAGATGCAATCTAAATGCAAATCATATCATATTCACCAATGGTGCCATACGTAATGTATACAAATGTATATAACTTAACTTGAACTTCCATATCATATTATATTCATATAATAACACTACAGCAAAAGTGTTCTATAGCGGCATTTTTAGCGGCGTTTTTAGGGTAAACGCCACAAAATTTAAGCATTTAGTGGCGTTTACTATCCAAACACCACAAAATTATACTTTAGCGACGTTTTCCCAACAAACGCAGCAATAGATTGGTAATTTAGCGGTGTTTATAGATAAAACGTTGAAATATACTTGTTTACAGTGGCGTTTTTTTAATAAACGCCGCAATAGAGTAATAATTTAGTGGCGTTTGTATAAAAACGCCGCAAAAGAGTAATATTTATACTTTAGCGGCGTTTTTTTACAAACACCGCAATAGGTTTGATATATATAGTGGCGTTATTTCAAAAAACGCCGCAAAATATTTATACTTTAGTGGCGTTTTTGTAAAAACGCCGCGAAAGAGTCATACGTTAGTGGAGTTTTTAAACACAAACGCTACAACAAAAATACCTATAGAGGCGTTTTCATTATAAACGCCGTAAATTTATATAAAACCCCAAATTAACAGTTTACGAGCCCTAACATCATTTGCAGCAAATCGCCCTCTCCCTCGCATCATTTTCATCGGCGATATAGTAGTCCATCTATTGCTCGTCGGTGGTCGAAGCCGTTGACACCTCCAAGGTAACGCCTCTCTCGACCCTTTGCTATCAGCAGTGGCATCAACATAACATGTTCTTATTCTTCTGCTTTTCCTTTTTTCATTACCGTGAGCCATAGACAGAAAAAAGAAGGTAATTTTCTATTTCTAAATAAGCTGTTATGTATTCAATTTCTTAATCTCAATCGACGCTGTTAATTTTTGAATCTTCCTTGATATTTTCCGGTTTTTATATGGAAATTATACATCCCTTTCTCTATTTTTCTGTGAATAATTTTTTCCATTGAATGCTTTCGATTGATGTTTGTTTCCTTTTTAAAATGAAGTTTTTTTTTCTAATGCTGTTATGATTACATGCAATAAAGCTTTTCGAGATTCGTTTGGATTTTAAAAAATAATAATTAAATTTCAGCCACAAGTTAATTTTTTTCTAGCGACAGTTCATTTTCTTTGATTAGCTTAATAATAGAGGTTTCGTTGCTTCTTTTTTATTCTAGAAATATGCTATTTATTTTATTTTTAATTTGAAATTTAAGCGTGTGTTTGGAACTGTTATTTATTGGGTTAAACCCTGCAATAGCTTGAGATTGGTCTTCTGTGTTATGATCTAATGATCCAGAAATGTTTCTATCATTAGTTTCCTTGTGAGGAGTATTTATTGATGTTTTCAAACAAATACGGTAACTATTGTGCTAGTCCTTGGTAAATTCTCTTCTTAAAACACGTTTTTTGAGAGGCACCTTAAAGTATCCTTTTAACTTATCCTCCTAGTGAATGTTTTTTCTTTTTGATGATTAAAATGACCATTAGCTTTGAATAATATAATGCTAATAAAGCAATTATATTTATATTTGTTATGTAGTAGATAGATTACAATGTAGTAGGAAAGTGGATTGTCACATCGTATGAAATAGTGTTGCATATGGTTTTCAATCCTTGGCAAAATTGTATGGACCATAGCTTTAGGGATTCTCTACTTGTTTGCTTTCACCTTTAATAAAGTTGTGTTTTACATCTTTTGTTACACTAGTGTACAACTTCTTTTACTTAATTGGTCTTGCCTTTTGCCCATTCCTACCCAAACATATGGCCTGTCTTTGGTCATTCTGGAAATTCAATCCATCCATTACAAATTTACAATGTGTATAGCTTTGTAGTTACCAAATCTTCCCCTTTCATTAAGATGACTAATAAAAATACCACAAGTTACTAATGTTGTGAGTTCGGTTTTATACTTTTTTCATATGTATGAAGAGAGATGTATATGCGTGTTTTGGTTGACATGGAACTTACATTGTAGCTATACATTCTTCCCTTGAAACTGCATTAGTTAATGGGGAGGTAACTACTGTTTTTATATTTTTAATAGACCTTGGTATCATGAAATAGCTTAATATCTTGCTTTTGAGAAACACCCTACATACTTCTTCCCAAGGTTCTGTTTTTTAACCATAAATAAGAAAGAAGGAAAAGTATCTCATTTGGTGATATATCTGATGATAAGAGTTTACCGTCTTTTCGTTTTTCCTTTTTAAAGTTTATCATCATCTTTCCCCATAATGTTTTAGTTAAATGAAATTATTGTATTTTGTGTTCATATATGCTTTATTTAGATATAGATTTTCTCTTACTCTTATTTACTCATATTTGTAAGATTATCGTAATTTTCTATTTATTTGTTTAGCTGGCAGAACTAAGATTTGTGTTCAGTAAGGTTGTCAAACCATTGTTTGAGAATCGCCCAAAGCATGTATGTTCGAGTTTCGTAGACTTGTATCACGTTGTTTCATAAAATGGAAGGTCAATTTGAACATATTGATAGAAGGAAATTATTTCTCTTTGCAATATTTTATTAATAATCCCCCTTTATTTTGTATTTTGCATTCTTTATATTTTAGCCTGCAAAGTGGTCTTTCAATTCACATACAGTTTTAAAGAACACTTAGCAGGCACCAAGGTACGCTGCACTCACTTTTCCTGTCAAACAGAATTATTATTCCTTGAAAACAGGATATTTTATTTGCATCTCTCCATCTTGTTGGTTTTCCGCAATGTTAAGACTTGGAGTCTAAGTGAGATCATTAGTCTATTTATGTTTCTTAACATCAATTTTATTTTTTATACTATCAATATTACTTGTTACTTTAAGTGATTAGTTAAAGTAGCCTTAACTAAGGATATATAACCTCCGAGTTACTTTATTTCCTTTGTTTACTTCATTTGAAATGCGCATTTTTTGTGCTGCTCTTTAACTGAAACAATGAGGTATATAAGAGAAGATTTATAAACTCGATCACCCATATGTATGGACAGAGTAAGAGAAATTGATTGTGGATAAAACTTTAGAAAATTTAATCCACAATCCCTAAGCAAAATCGTCAGAATGTCCACGTGGCGTATTTGCTCTGACGCCGGATCAAATTATCGTTGGGAGGATTCCGGTCCGTTCTTGCCGTCGAAACCCTATGATGACCCGAAAGGAACTCCTATTGCTCCATACCCTTCCATGGTCGATCTCCTACTTCAAGGTAATAATCTCTGAATTTTTCTGCCGCTATATTTTTATTTTGTACTCTCAAATTTTATAGATCGTACGCAGGATGTTCGAAGATTATTGAGAACGATGATAGAGAAGTGGATAAATACCCGATGTTTAGAACCAGATTGGGGAAATCTATTGCGTTGAAAGAATCTTCAATTGCAAAAGCATTATCTATCCTCGATGAAGAAGACGGTGCCTCTACTGTTACTCCAAGTAAACGCTTCTCTTTTTTACTTTAATTTTTTTGTTTACTGTTTGATTCAATTCCCAAGCCACCTCCAATCAAGTTATATATTGTAGGTGGAAGGTCGTTATCTGTTTCAAGTGAAGCATTTAAGCGTGCAAGGAGTCTTCTTGGTGAACCGGAGCTAGGGGATTTATTTGGTGAAATGGATGAAAATGTTCTCCATATACAGTTTACAGGGAGGAAAAACCTAACGATGCTTCATCAAACAAGGAAAACTGTTTTTTTTTTAATTTAAAGTGACTGAACCTTGATTAAATTCTAGAGAACAATGTCAAACTACATTACATTTAATTTTAGTGTTTATAAATTTTAATTTATTTTGTTGTTAAGTAATTTTCGGCATAATTTGTATCTTAATTAAAATTTATGGTTGTTGTTAATTAGATTACATGATATTAAATTTAGGTGATGTATAGCAAAATTGGAATATGCAAAATCAATTAATATTACCTAAAGAACGATCATTAGCGGCGTTTGTATCAAAAAACGCCGCTATAGATCTAACCTTTTGTGGCGTTTGTTCCAAAAAAGTCGCTATAGATCTCGACCTATTGTGGCGTTTATCCCAAAAATGCCGCTATAGATCTCGACCTATTGCGGCGTTTGTCCCAAAAACGCCGCTATAGATCTCGACCTATTGCGACGTTTGTCCCTAAAACGCCGCTATAGATCTCGACCTATTACGGCGTTTGTCCCAAAAACGCCGCTATAGATCTCGACCTATTGCGGCGTTTTTTGTTCACAAACGCCGTTAACTTTAGCGGCGCTGGTTTCGCCGGCGCTTCTTGCGGTGTTTTTACTATCGCCGCGAGTGCTTTTAGCGGCGCTTAAAAACGCCGCTATAAGACTAAAAAAACGCCGCTATAGGACTAAAAAAACGCCGCAATAGGTCAATATTGCTGTAGTGTAATCAACATTTTCATATCAGAATCAATTTCATCTTATCATCATAAAAACAATAATTTGGGT